GCATTTGTTCGGTTTGAAAAAAAACCAAAATAAGATAATCCTCGTTCGTTTGAATTAGTAGAGATGCTAGACCTTATAGGATAAAGATTAGAAGGGTTGTTTAAGTTTTCGTTAGTTTTTTTTTTAAAATACCATACAAAATTATAATTCGGTGCATTAATGTAAGAATAATTTTGTATATATTGTTTAACATTTCCGTTTGGTTCTATACTTAATTTTGAAATGATAGTATTTTCGTTATTAGTAACATAACGTAAATGTGTGTTGGTGTCAAATAAATATTTTAAATTGAAACATTTTTGATTTGTAATATTACTACTTTTGTTTTGATAATTTGAAAAAAAATCTGCAAAAGTCAATCTTCTATTTAAACTCGTATTAAAAAGCTCTAATCGTCTGATTAAAAAATCGTCTTGCAACGGACTCGGAGACGTTGTACCAAATAGTTTAGCACGACCAGAAACCGAGCACATGAATTCCAAATGAACTGCGTCCATATGCTCAACTCTTAATAGGTCATAATTTTGAAACGCGTCTCCTGGCAAAAGAGCATAATCGGTATACAAAATAACTTTTTTAGTTACAAGATAAAAAGGAATTTTTCGATTAGGATTAGATATCGTGTCGTTTTGAATATCTGTCATCATTTGTTTTATAGAAGGTTTTGTTTCCATTCTTGTTCCGTAGCTGTTTTCTGTTAACGAAACGTTTTCGTCTATGCGCGTTAAACTAGTTGGAACGTCCATAGATGATAAATGCATAATAGTATTATTTTTAAAAAAAGGTTTATCTAGATCGTTAGTAGATAAGGGTAAACTAAAATCGTTCAAAACGTTATAATGATCATTTTCTTGCTCTTTACTTTTAATTTCGCTAAAAAAATACGTACTACAATCATATTTACTTACATCTAAAACATCATCAAATACTAAATTATTCATTTTTTTTTACAATAATTTTTTTTTGCAAAGATTTCTTTAAAGGTTTATAAAAAGTGTCTACGTATTCGTTAAAGTTTTTAAAATAAATGTTTTTATCTTCTTCGTTAATAGGTAACAAATCTTCTCTCTTGACTTTATACGTTGTATTTAAATCGCCAACTTGTCCTACTTTGTAAATATGAACCGGTAAATAACCTTGCACTGAAGGGTTTGTGCGTTTGCTGACTTTCATGATGATGACACGTTTTGTTGTGTCCCAATACGGACGGTTTCGTGTACTCGATTTGCTAAAAGTATCTTTAGCATCTTTTTTGTATTTTCTTAAATAACATTCTGTTCCAACAGATAAAGGTTTTAATATTTTTAATTTTTGATTTGTGTGTTCTTTTTCTACGCGATGCAACATGTTGGATGTAAAGTCATGTTTACGTTTTTTGTTGCTTACGTATTGATCAATCATACGCAGAGCTTTACCTTTATTGTCATCGGCATCCAATTCTTCAGGACTTATACCGCTGGATGTTTTTTCTTTCTCGTTTAGTTTTTGTTCGATTTCTTCAATGTAATAACTCCAATTATATTTTTTTAATTGACCTTTATCTCTTAATTTTTGATATAACAGTTTTAAACGTCCAATGACCGATTCAGCTAGGTAGGCTTTTCCGTAATTTTTAGAATGAAAGTGATGTACGTTTTCGGTTTCGCACCATTCTTTCATTTTTGAATTAAAAAATTCTGTACCTTCGTCTGTTTGCAAATATATAAAACTTTTGTTGTCGTCTCGTTTAATGTCTTTAAAAATGTGTCTAAAACTGCTGACTGTTTTTTCTGCAGTTTTTTTTTTCATTACTCTCAAATACACTTTACCCGACACACCGTCAACTACGACTAAACAATAATCAGGACGATAACCAGGATTAAAATTAAAACTCTCCATGTCTGCCAAATCGGCTTGAAAATACTGATGAGGTTTTTCGTAAGAAAACCGATGCGTTTCGTAAACGTATGGTTTTCTCGGCGCTTGTTTTTTAACGTTTGCGTTAGCAGTTTTTTTTAAAAGAAGTGTTTGATGCGACCAAGCAGTTATCATACCGTCCCATTTAGCAAAAACTGAATTTTCTAAAATTGTTTTAAGTTTTTCATAAAATTTGAAATCGCTGACATTTTTTTTCAAAGTGTTAAATTGCGACATTATTTTTTTAATTTTTGTCAAGTTGGTCAAGCCAAATAATCGACTGGATAAATCGTCAAGTTGAATTTCGATAAGACGATCTATTTTATCTCTTAATGCGTCTTCCATTTTTTTTAAAGATCTTTAGCTTTTTTTCTTGTTGGATATTTTTTTTCTAAACGTTTAGGTTTTATTTCTTTACTAGTAATTGGCGTAGCTTCAGTAGGTAAAGCGGTAGCGCTGACAGGTTTTTCTTCAGTAGGTAAAGCGGTAGCACCGACAGGTTTTTCTTCTTTATACAACCAAGAGTCTTCTTTTGGAGTAGATTCTAACCAAGGTTTATCTTTAAAACTAGATTGAGGTGTATCAACTAAAGATTCGGGAGTAGGTAATACAGATTTTTTTGAAAAAAAAGATTTTTTTACAGGAGAAAGGTTGATATCAACTTTTGGATGCACAAACAAATTATTTGTCTTTAATGAAGTGACTGATTTTAAAATTAATGCAAAATTTTTAATTTCGTTTGAATTATTAGATTGAATTTCAAAACATTTTTTATATGCTGATAAAATAGTATCCAATCGAAAGAGTTGAGAACTGTATAAAGAACCCATTATCATCATCATTTCGATGATTGTTTTTTGTTTAACGTTGATTTCTGTATTATAAAATTGATTCGAATTGCTTTTAATTTGTTCTAAAAAATCTTGCATGTTTGCTTGTATGCAAGCGGTTACTAAGTTGTCTTGTAATTGTACTACGTCGTCTACATCTCTATATGGTAAAGAAGGCGGATTTGCAAAAAACGTTTTAAATGTAAGGTATAACATGTGTTCACCGATCGATATACTTTGCATCGCGTTTTCGTTGTAATTGTTAATCATTAAATTATAAATATTTTTGTCGAGCATGTAAACGCTGTTAGATTTGATGTAATCGGTTAAAATGTTAAAGTTGTAACCTTTAAATTGTTCTGTGTATTGTATTAACCACGAGTTGACAACTTTTTTTGTTTCAGATAAAAGATCAAAAGCAATATTACCCGAAAAACTTTTGTCTACTAATGAATCGCTTTCAAAAAAGGCTGAAGTTATTACAGTATAAGGACGACTTGAAAAGGTTTCTTGATACGCGCTTTCTGCCGTCAATTTGTTTTCGTTTCTAAAAGGTATGTTATATTTTTTTAAATAATTCCACAATTTAGCAAAAGTAAGATGTTTAATTTGATAATAATCTGCAACCATTCTTAAACTGCCTACGCTTTGAGGTGAAGCAAGTAAAGTTAAAAATTCGTTAGCGTAATAAGAATATTGTTTAGGATCATTAATGATTTCGTAAGAAGTTGCGTTAACGTTGTTAATAATGCTAGCTAATGATTCTTCAACGTCTACTACGTTATTCATAAATTGAATATATATTTTTAAATTGTTTAATGTCGCTTCTTCACCTCTAGGTTTATAAACGCGTAAAGAAATTTGATTCGATCCAAAGGAGTGATTGACTTGATTTTTACACATGTCTAATAAATTGCGAGCTAATTTAGCCATGTTTGATCTAGCTAAATTTGCCATGAGTTTGGTTACTTCTGCGTCGTTAGGTTTTTCGTAAAAAGTTAAAAATCGATTAAGAGGAGTTAAAAGATAAACTTTTTTGTTAGTAGGTTGAACAGTATTTAAAGTAGTTTTTTGTGATAAATTATTTAAACTTGATTGTACAGAATTAGGAGGCATAGGATTAAGAGAATTGTTTTCTTCTTGAGGAACATATTTTTTTATATTTCTCATGGTTCTTAAAGTTTCGCTAATGGTTCTTTGATCAACTTGAGCGTTAAATTCGTTGTATTTGTTTTGTCCGATTAATTTGCTAAAAGCGTAAGCGTCACCTCCTACGTTGAGATAAGTTTTCCATTTTTCTTGATCTTGAATTAGCGATGTTGTCAAATCACCGTTCAGCTGTGTTTCAATAGGTAATAAATTATTTAATTCTTGTTGAAATCGTAATTCGCCTTCGATTTGCGCTTCTGCATTTATCGGATCGGCATAGATAAGGGAAGAGGGTAAATCGTATCTTTCGATCAAATGAGAAATGTCAGATTTCATTGTTGTTTCTGGCATGCCAGAACTTTGCGGAACAGTTTCTGTTTCTTTTTCTTCAGTTTCTTTTTCCATTTCCAATCTAGTTTTTTTGTAGACGTCAGTGTTGTAAGCATTTTGCGCGAAAACTTTTCGCAAAGCGAGCAAAGGGGTATAAGAAAAATCGTACGGTTTATATCTATTCATATTTCAAAATAATACAAATCTTTTTGAGAATACAATTCTTTTTGACAATAATCAATGTCAAATTGTTGTCTTAACAAATCTATAACAGTTTTTGTAGGTTGTAACGTGTCAAATGAAATTAATTTATTAGAGTAATAATTTATTATTTCGTGATAAAGTTTAAAACGAGTAGAGTTGAAATATTCTTTTAAAACGTCGTAATTATTGTAAACGAAATCCGATATGGTTTTGTTTTTGTCTTTCATTTTTTCTTTTTTTAAAATAATTTTTCCGTTTTCGTTAAACTTGGGATAAGGATATAAAATTTCTTTGACAAACAATTTAATTTCTAAACATACGTAATCTTGAAAAGCGTTTTTGATTTGTAATCTTTCGTGATCAGACAAAAGTTCGCATTTTAACATTTTGACAGCGTTAAATCGAGTCGAAATTTCTTTGATCCATATTTTAATTTCGTTTTCGTCTATATCTTTACGTTTGTTCATTTTAGGTATAAAAATGTGACTGCGAACGGCTAATTTTTGTCTCATGTCTTTTCGTTTTGATGTTTTGAGATTGCACGCTTCGTAATCGCTTTGTAAAAGTTGCAACAGTTCTTCGCTGTCCCAATCATTCTGATTCGTTTGATTCGTCTCCAGAATCTGAAAATTCGTCTGATGATTCGCACAATCCATATCTCTTTCTTCTTTTAATTTCTTCAAGCATTAGAGCAGCTCTTTCGCTCTCGCTCCATTTTCTTTTTTTTATTTGATTTTCTTTTTCGCTATTTATATTGTTTTTACCTTCTTCGTCGTTAGTTTGTTGGTTCTCCTTCTCTTTTTCTTGACAAAATGGATTGTGATGAGATTTAAGATAATAATGGTTTTTACAATTTCGCGCTTTAACATAAGGAAACGATTGAAAAGTAACAATTTTTTTGTTTACGCTCATTTCGTTGTAATCAAAATCTAATTTTCCTTGAGCGTCAACAGGTATAAACACTTTTTGTTCTTTGGAATTGGTAATTTGGGTTCTTAATCTGGCAACAGAACAATTTCTTTTAAATAATGCCAAGTGTCCGTGTTGACTAGAAGTTTCTTTGTTAAGTAAATCGCTAATGACGTGATGCATTTTTCCAGCAGAAGGAAAATCATTTTTAAATATTTTTTCAATTTCGCTGTTGTTGTCAAAAGAAACAATACATTTGTAATGAGATACCAAATTATTCCAAGCTTGACTCGATTTAGAAGGTACTGCATGAAATACAGTAATGGTACCTACTCCGTGATGCGATCCGCTAGAACATGCGCTAGTATATTGTTGACTCTTGAGACAAAAAGCACTAATGTCGTCAAACAACAAT